TGATTGGTTATCAGGAAGAGAATCCAACAACCTCTTCACAATGTCATAGTCCATCATATATTTTACAACCAGATTCACGAATGACTATTAATGCAGCAAACACAGTCAACTATTTTGATATATGTTAACAGCTTTGTGGAGATTATTTTTTAATTTGGTTTAATTAATATTTCCATTATAATAGCATCTATTTACTCACTTACTTATTGAGTACTTATATTCTCGGATTTGCTCCAGTTTCTATGATATAAAGATGTCTAAGAAAGTCCCAGCCCTCTGGGAATTCAGTCATACAGTGGAAACAAACTAAAAATAATAATTAGACTATGTTAAAGAAGGGACAAATAGCAAGTCAGTCAGGTAGGAGGAGACTTTGAGCTTTTCAGGTCAAAAAAAAGATGTCTTATTCTGCTGTTGTGTTGCTAAACACAAATACCTAGACTGGGTGATTTACAGCAAGTAGATGTTTCCTTGGCTCATGATTCAGTGGCAGCTGGAAAGTTCAAAGCATGGAACCAGCATCACAATATGGTGGAGAGAAGCAAAAAGGTCAAGAAAGATAAGCAGGTACATGTCAAGAGGGAGACTTGGGAGCAGTCCACTCCCACTGGAACTAACCTCTTCTCTTTTCTTATGAGAGCTAGAACTCTACCTCATTAACAACACTAATCCAAGACACCTCTAGAGACTAAACCACTCCAACTAAGCCTTAGCTCTAAAAGTTCTCACCACCTCTCAGTGCTGTTACTTTGGAGACCAGATTCTAATGAACCATTGAGGGACAAACCATTATCCAAATCATAGCAGAAGATAAGTGTAGAAATAGAGTGGTCAATCCAAAGTGGCTGTGACATAGAATTGACAAGATTTTGTGTCATTCAAAGAAGGCAGGATAAATGAGGCTAATTGGATTCAGAGGGCCATGGAAAGTAGACCACATCTTAGGAAGCTACCCAAACAAGAAATTAACCTAAACAATAATTTTTTAAAAAAAGCAAAAAAAAGCCAGGAAGGCTGTTCATATGAATCATCCCCCTTGGGGTGTGATTTCTCACTTTCTGTCTCTCTGTCTCTCTCTGTCTTTCTGGCAAGCGCATGCAGCCTCTAACCTCTCTAAAACAGAAAGATACCTTTATATCTTTGGCTTTAACTTCAGGTGAGGCAAGAGCTACACAAAGTTTCAATCTAGTGAGTCACTTCAACACTCTTATTTTTGGTAATAATTTGGAATTAATCTAAATCCTTGTGTTTGAATTAAGATCAAGATGTTTCAAGGATAATGGCATTGATTAATAATTCTCCCCAACTAATGTATTTCCTGTGAATAACTCAAACAATGCACAGAGACCTTCATTAACTCTGAAACCACCAAGGATTTGTTTAGAAAGCAACCCCTTATGAATCTAATAGTGCTGCCAAAGTGTTAATGCACCTTTTCTAAGCATTAAGGAGCTGGGTAGATACACATGGATGTAATGACTATGTATAAAAATTAAACAATGATGTACTTTGTCTCTGATCCACACTTTTTAGGAGGTCCCCTTTTTGTTTGAGATTCTGCGAGTTATGTTTTCCTGTCTGTGACATTCTAATGTTTTTCATTGCCAACTATCCAGATTTGTCACCGGTATGAATCAGATTCTTTAAATTTAATTAAGCTAACTTATCTGTCACTCATCATAATTAATCCATTCTATTTTAATTACTTTTCCATTTCCAGAGCCAATCATCATCTATTAATGCAAATACAGGAAAATCTGAGTCATCTTTGTAATATAGGTAGGAACACAGAATGCCCATCGGACTGCCTTCACAGAGGTAGGAAGAGTCAAAATTAAGATGATTTGTATTTTGCCAGAAACACAGAAACCAGGAAATAATTTGATGCATCAGTTCATTCATTTATCTCCCAACACCGACTTTCTAAACCCCATCATTCATTTCCCAGAATTTCCCATAGTCGCTTTTAAATCCATCCAATGGCGAATGATAGCATAGGAAGTCTGCATTTTGGAGGTAATTGTGGGGCAGCAATGCTTGTCAGCTTGTCTCTGTCAGCTCGTCTCTGTCACAGGGGCCAGTGTGGGAATTTTTTGTTGTTATTCACTCATTCATTCATTGAGCATGACTAATCACTGGGGATGCAGCACTGAATGAGACAAAAGAGTGTTCCAGCTCTCATTGAGCTCGCATGTTGTGGGGTCCATAGATTGTCAACAAATAAACAACAGTTGTGACAAATCATGTTAGAGATTTAAAATAAGATGATGGAAGATGGCTCAGTGACTTCTGTCGCTGAAGTGCTCAAAGAAGGCTTCTCGGAGGAGGTAGCATTAAATCTAAAAGTTGAATGACAAGAGATGACCACAAAGCTAAGTGTGCCAAGAAGCGGTCACAGCTTGAGCAAAGGCCCAGAAGTGGAAAAGTAATCCAGGAGCCAAATGAAGGCCCGTGCTGCTGGAGTGGTGAGAACAAGGCAAGTGGTAAGGATTAAGCACTGGGGAAACAGACCATTCTACAGGAGGGGTGTGGATTTAATTCCAAGTTCCATGAGGAGCTACTGGAATGTTTTAAACTAGGTAATGATGTGAGCAGGTTGATTGAGAAATGCTTAGTCTGGCTGCTTTGTGGAGGATGGATTAAAGGGAGCAGGTATAGGTCCAGGGAAATGGAGGCTGGATGAGGATGATTTGGGCGTCCATCTAGAAGCACAGGTGTGAGAAGCAGATTAATTCAGGATTTGCTTAGAGGCAGAGAGAGGGAACTTACTGATGGGTTGGCTGTTGAAAGGGTGTGTTTTGAAAAAAGAGAAGAATCCACCAAAGATAATTCAGATTTCCTTTTGTTTCAGAAGCTTTAGAACTTCATCCTCTCTTAAGTTGTTTCTTTGGTCATTTCTACAAGTTGCTTTTCTTTATAGCTGCCTATTTCCATGGCTAGAGCAGACCACAGTGTGACTTCCTAAATTCAGATCTGGGGTTTCCAACCAGGGGACTGTGTGATCTTAGGAGTTTTTCTCAACCTTTTTAACCTTTGAGTTTCCTCATTAAAAAAAAAAAAATGGTACTAATTTTATCAGTTTCATAGGATTATTGTCAGAATGACTAAGAAAACATAAACAGAAATGCATAGGTAATGCTAGACTGCAGGAAGCATTCAGCAAATATGGACGGTTAAGTGCAGTGTTTCCACCCTACTTTACTTACTATAGTGCAATCAGTCTCAGGACTTTTAATATATCCCCAACTTCCGCATCTGGTAATATCTTTTGTTTTCAAGTGATTTTGTTATTTGGGTTTTACAATCTGTTAAGGGCTTTTTGAGAGATTGATTGAATATTATCAGCTTTATTGTGAATTTAGCATTTCCGGCTCTTAAAATAGAGGGAAGGATGTTAGGAATCTGATCTCAAGATTATATAAATTACATGAAAGATTAATAGACTGCCTCTACCAGCATGAATGACACCACGTGGGCCCTATTGGAATGTACCGTCTACAGCTGGGTAGCCTGTTTTCCCTTGGGGCTTAGAACCATATTGGGTTTAAGACTGAAAAAGATCCTATTTGTTGAGATCACAGGGTAATCTAGAAGAACTTGTATGTCTGAATCTTTGCTTTCCCTGTAAACACTGGTTCCTGTCATTCTGCCAGGCTGCAGCTGTGTTTCAGACCCTCATGATGGGTTATTTGCTTCTCAAAATAGGCTTGAGCACAGTAGGAAAATAGAGTAGGTCAACATAGCATATGGTTGAGTTCTCATGGACAGATGTGTTTGAGAATAACAAGGAAACTCTTTCCAATTGTCGCCTTTGTTATAAATGTGGTATGCAAATGTTTCCTAGTTACAGCTGGGATTGAGGTACATTTAGCAAATGATGCTTTTCATGAGATAACACATTAACCTAATTTTTGAAAACTCCTTCTTATGCTCACTGAAGTTACTTGGGCAAAGAACCACTTCCCTTCGCTGTGATAGTCAATGCTGTCGTTGCGGCTCTGTTCAGCCAGGTGGCTTTGGAACCCTTTCCCATGTAAAACATTCAGTATTAAATACATGCCCATTCTATGAGTCTTCTGGCTTGGGTTTCTCTGTTTCTTCTTGTGTTTTTTTAATAACAGGAGATAATCTTTTATTTCCAAGCCTATTCCTTCCCATCTCTGATGTAACAATAAATCCAGTGCCTGGGTGGGGATAATTACTCTGTTAAACTTCTGGTTGACTGAATCTAGAGTGGTTGGGATCTTGCAGTTTGTGATGCTTGCTTCCACAATTTGTCACACTCTTTTTTAAAAAAAGATTTATTTATTTTATTCCATTGGTTACTATTACTTTTTAATTTGATCAGAGAGAGATAGAGCGAAAGGGAAAGTGAGAAAGCAAGCCACTAGGTCCAAGACTGGAACTGCAGTCAGACATGTCGGAATCCAGCGCCTTTGACCACCATACCACCTGCTGGCCCCATACACAATTTACTCTTATTTACTGTGCTGATTGCATAGCTACTGGGTGGATTTTGTGAAAGTCACATTTTTAATATTGAGATAACAATATAGTCTGGAGATTCTTGGAAATCAAGAACTACTATAATCTGTGTGTGGGGTCGAGGGGAGCTTTTATATTTTGTGGAGTTAAAACACCTGACAGCTCTATGATGCTTCCTTCTAGCTCATTCAGAGATACTGTGGTCATAGCTATTTAAGAGCTCAATGTGAAGGCCTACCTGGCCATAAAGAATCAATCATGAATTCTGAGGCCCACAAGCACACTCAGAACTGACCAGTGGGGCTCCTGTCTACCCTCCAGTCATCTTAGGCATGCCTGATGGGGAGGCCCTTTGGAATTAAGAGCAGGTCTGTTTCAGCAAAGAGCCTGTCCATTCACAGTTCAGAACCCCAACTTGATTATGTTTGTTAATATGTATTTTTAACTTTTAATTTTTTTCCAGAACTATGTGTTCAGATATATTCACTCTCTTTATGTTTGTTTTTCTACCACAGACACAGGAGCAGAAAGGCAGGCACTAAAAGAAAATGTGTATCCTAAACTGAGGGAATTCTGCAGAGAAAACTATGGATTGGAATTTCAGGTAATTCTAATACTCATCTCATTTTTAATTATGTCAGCTAAGTAACTAGTGTTTGTTTCTTGACTTTTATAACATCCAAGTCATGACAAGTTTCAGATCCTGAACATTTTCATTTCTTTGAGCATGAGTTTAAAAAAAAATGGAAAGTAGAAATAAAATATTTAGTCATTTTTGATATATTGTACTTTTTATGTTGTACATTTGGGGCCTCTGCCTGGTATTTGCTCATTTTTTTCTTTAAACTGCATTTATTTGCCTTTTTGACAGTCTCCACTGTTTTCAAAAAGGTGAAGGTTGCTGAGCACCTGCCTTGAAGCTATGTCTCCAGAAATGTTTTGCATCTGAAAATCAGAACAAATTTTTATATACTACTTTCTTTCAGTAGACTGGCCAGTCCATGCCTTTTAGTTTTTGTGGTTTTTGTTTGTTTGTTTGTTTGTTTTGGGGGGGAGGGTTAGAGGTTTTTGCTATAGGGTGCATGCACTCGCCAGAAAGACAGAGAAGGAGAGACAGAAAGCGAGAAATCCCCCCCCCCCCGGGGGGGATGACCATGTCTCAGACCCTTCTCTTCCATTCTCCTCTCGGGACCTTGGGCATGCACACACATGCACCTGGCATGAGTTTAAGCCACTGATTCAGAACTCAAATCTGGTTCAACTACATGGGAATCCAGTGACATAGCCATTACACCAACTGCTGGTCCTGCCTTTTAGTTTTTATACATATTGTAGAATATCCTTTTTCCAGGACCAACAGATGGCATAACGGTTATGTCACTGGACTCCCACGTAGTCTACCACCATTTGAGTCCAAGACCCAGTGGCTTAAAACTCACGCATGGCATATGTGCATGCATGCCCAAAATCCGAGAGGAGAATAGAGGAGAAGGGATTACTGTGTGGTCATCCCCCTCTTGGGGGTGATTTCTCACTTTCTGTCTTCCTGTCTCTCTCAGTCTTTCTGGTAAGCACACACGCCCTATAGCAAAAAATCTCTATTAAAAAAAATATATATATATATCCTTTTTGGTATGCATTTCAGGGTTTTCCCATTTACAAAAAAAAAAAAAAATCAGCCTTTCATTGATAGTACATGTCGTTGCTAGGTTTTGCGAATACCTGACATTTTTATACACCATTGATTTTGAAATCTAATTTTTAAAAAAGTACTTGAAAACATTAGATGTAACTTGGATATCTAAAATTTGAAAAAAGAAATGGCTCCTCCACCTGATAACATTATTCAGTCAGAATTTTTTTTATCCTCCTTTACAATAGAAATCTTAACTCCAGTGCTATCTAAACTGCACATCAACATTGTCAAGTAATGCACATGTAATAACCATTGGTGGTGCAGGAGTGCAAAGCGCCCCTTTGTTAGTGGAAGAAAAATTCCCCCTTTTTGTTTTCTCCTGGATAAGTATTTTACCTCAGTGTGTCTCAGGATGCCTTCAATATGATGGATACAGAAATAGTCCTCAGGAACTCAGTAATGGCTTCTCTCTCATTGCACAATGTCAGCCAGCAGCAGGCCACTGTGACACACACATTGAATAGTTACTCATAAGTCACCATTTACTTGATCAATTGTGAACCTAAATTAAATTCCTTGTCATGAATTCAGCACTACCTTTTCCAAAGAGTCTGGTTCCACCGATAACAGAGTCTCAATTGTTAACAAAACTTCCAATCTGTCAAGATTCCCAAAGACTGGTACGTTCCTTGGGGACTCAATTACCATAGAGGAAGAAACATGTTTGAACACATTAATCCCATCTTTGAGTTGTTCCATTTAACAGCAGTTTTGTCGGTAGAGGGAGGAAGTTGTTGAGCTGCAGAACAACCTCCATAAACATCTTATTGGCTGAAAGAAGGAAGAGAAAAGTATATTTTTCTGTTATGAGGTAGGCACAGAACAAGAGATATAGCCAAAGGGACGCTGTAGAAAGCAAGGCCCATCAAATACATGAATGACGGGGATCGTGGTGAGCAGGCACACTGAATCAATGAGATGCTGGACAGTCGTGGAGACAGCGGTGACTGTGGAAGATGTGGAACTGCCCTAGGAGTGACATGACCTGCCCATCCTTCAGTTCAGTGTCTAAAATAGGCATGGCAACAGCTTATATGTCCAAGGTTGTGTCTAGTTCGTTTTGTGTATAATAGCAGAAAATAACCAAAGTGATTGATTTATGAGTATACAAATACAGATTTACTCAGCTCACATTTTGGAGGTCTATGAGTCTCCTCTGATGGGATTTCTCTGGCTACTTCACAGCCTGGTAGTGTGCAGGACAGTGTGGTCTGAGTTCCATGTGGGTCTCTCTCTTTATAAACCCACCAGGGGTCCCTGGGAACCCACCCTGATGACTTTCATCCTAATGTAGTTGCCAAAACCCCACCTTTCAACACCATAATTGGATCAAGTTTTTATACTTTTAATCCACATCAGTTTCCATGGGACATAGTCAAACTACAGCAGGTTGTGATTCTAAAGTTAAATATGCAAGGTTGCATTTGCTTCCCAGCTGTTAAACTGAACAGGACTGCAAATATATAGTATCTAAATCTTCTAAGAATATACTTTTGATATAGTCTTTTATGGTACGTTAATTATAGATCACTTCCTTGAGGATATGTTTTCCAGAGAGAGTTCTCTTTTCTCAACAAAATATGGTGGGCTTCATGAAAAGTCAGTTTACCCACATGGTATTCCGATTCCGTCTTTGCTTGTGCATTGAACTATGAAGAAATGAATTCCCTAGAGGAACACAAATATATTCAGTTCATTCTTCCTGTTTCACCTCCTGGATCCTATTCAGTCTTATCTCCTCTCCCCCTTGCTCATTGCCCTAGAGCTACATGTGCTTCTTTTGCTTCCCTGAATACTCCCAGCCATTCCCACATGAGGGTGTTGCCTTGGTATTCTCTCTGCCAGGGATACTCACCCCTTCATCTTCATAGGGTTGCTTGCTCTCTCTCTCTCTTTCTCTCTCCCTCCCTCCCTTTCTCTCTCTCTCTCTCTCTCGGGGGTTTGTTTATATTTTTTATTTTAATTTATTTTATACATTCATCACTATATATCACTTAGCTTGTACAGTGAATTTACCCAACATGAATGTAATTCACACCAGTCCAATGGAGAATTCTATACATGTAATTATCAACAGATAATAATTCCTTTCTGTGTCCCCTCAATGTCTTACCACTCTATTTTTCTCCTTAATTTCTTTCCTCATGTTCTCCCTCTTCTCCCACCCTCTTCCCACACTGTCTTCAGTATCCATAACCATTTCTTATTGTACCTCCGGTCTCCATGGAAATGTCACTTCTTATTGATGCTTACCTTCTCTCCCAGTTCAAACTACCTCCCGTGGTGCTCTCTTATAAGTCACACCATTTTAGTTTCTCACATGGGCTGTGTCAGCATCAGGCAGTTTCCTTATTCATAGGCTTGCTTATTGTCCTTCTCCCATTGACTAGGAAGTTCCATAAGAACAGCAGTTTGTCTGTCTTCGTAACAACTACATTTCTGGTCTTAGAATAGTGTCTGGTATGTAGAAAAATGCCATAAGAATTTGGTAACGGTATTAACAAATACCTGCAAAAAATGAGGACTCAAACATTACTTGCTTAAGAAAGCCTTCCTTGATCTCCACCTTCCCATCCCTCCTAGGATAGGCTAAATAACCTCTGCTTTGTCCCCCTAAAATTCAATACGTAACTCCAAATCATTTATCCAACTTACTCAACAAGTATTTTGTTGAGTACTGACCACATGTCAGTCAGTATTCACAGTGCTGAGAATACAAACCAAATAGGCTCTCCTCTATAGAGCTTCCAGTATCCTTGGAGGAGGCAGAAGGAACACAGATTTGGTGTTACCACAAATAACAGAGGCAATTTCTGCACTTTATCGAAATAAATGCTTTTACAAAAAATCAAGCAGAGTAAGGAGGGTTAAGGAAGGGTCGTCAAAGAAAACTCAGTGATAAGATGACCTTTGAGCGGAGATCTTCAGAAAGAAGATGACAGAGCAAGTCATGCAGATGTCTAGGAGAGGAGGAGACCAGGCTCCAGGACCATGGAATAGAATCTGAGATGGGGAGCATGTTTTTAACATTCTATAAACAATAAAGAAGACAAGTGGGGGTGAAGAGAGTCAGGGAAATAATTATAGATGACATCCAAGTCATACGTGGGACCTCGTGGGTCAAGATTAAGACTAAGAATTTTACTAAACAAGAAGGGAGAGAGCGATGGTGATGTGACTTACCTTTAAGAGGTTTGCTCAGGTGCTATGAGTAGATTAGTATGGCGGAGTAATGTAGAAGCAGGAAGATAGTGTAAGCAAGATGTGATTGTGGCAGAATCTATAGTGTGTGTTGGAGACCATGAGACATTATCTGGTTAGGGACAGTTTTCATTATCTGTCTATAAGGTTTAAAAGTTCTCAGGACTAAACTTGTGTCTCATTCAACTTATCTCTGGGGTTAGTCAAGTAGCTGGCACATAGTAAGTCAGTTAGGTAAACTTTTATTAAAATATTGGGTCATCACAAAAGTCATGATGTATTTTTATGTTTTCCTATGCAAAAATGCATCATGACTTTTCTGACGATCCAATTTGTTGATAGAATGTACAGCTAAATTTTAAGCATACCCACATGCCTTTGATCTATGTGTTTATTCAGCAGACTATAGTGTAGAATTTCCTTTATTTTTTCATTTCTAAGAAATTTAATGAAAATGCACCAAACTCTAATTCTGTGAGTTTCAATATGCTATATACTGGGTCATTGGAAAGGTCATGATGTATTTTTCTATGCAAAAAATGCATCTTCACTTTTGCAAAGATCCGACATTAAGATATACATGGGGCTCTCCAGTGGCATGGTGGTTAGGGTGGCTGGATCCCACATAGCCAACTTCACGTCCATGTCAAGTTCATGTCCTGGACCTGGTGGCTTGAAAATCATGCCAGGTTGGGACCACCAGATAG